CGCCCGGGAAGAGCGCAATGATGGTGCCAACTTGGGCCAGTGAAGCAACGTCCTCCACAACTAGACTGAAGAACAAAACGACAGCAACTTGTCTGTTCCTCTTCCCCCGATTCCCCAGCACTGTTCCCATCCCCCAATTCACCAATAAAAATCTTTAATAAACAAGAAAGACAATGATGATTTACTCCAATCTTTGAATAGTTTGGCATTTCCTCTAATTTCTACATTTAAAATCAGGCTGTAGCTCACCACCTGTGGTGTGTCATAGTTTAACTGCCAGCGTTAACTTTCCTTTAAAAAAAATAATAAGGTAAGTTCCACATCATACAATAATGGGCTCTTGGATTCAGTGAAAACTGTTATATGGAACCTCAGCCCCTTAGTAGCTGAGTGACTTGGAGAAAAATCACTTAACCTCCGTGTGCCTCAGTTTCCCCAGCAATAAAAGAGGGGGTAAAGCAGTCCCTACTTTGTAGAGTTGTTTGGAGGAACAAATGAGTTAATATATGTGAAGTACTTAGTTAAGCATGTAGGAAGGTCTAATAATCCCCATTTTACAGATGAGAAAGACTCAAAAAGCTGAAGTAACTTACTCAAGGTCCCACCTCATGGGCATGACCACAGCTGGAATTCAAACCCATAGTTACCCGGTTCTGTGACACCTCACAGGCAGAGGTAAAGATCAAAGATTCATGCTGATCTATGCACACTTAAGCAGCTCATGTTGTCCTTCTCACATATTAGACAGAAGTTTGACAATAAAAAGTTGGAACAAAAAACCTGCTGGATGACATGCCTTGCTAGCATTGGTGACATTAAACAGATGTCATGTTATTATTACATAATCCATTCGTTTAATGTACAGGTGGAGGTGATAAAAATTTGCTTTTTGCAGGCTGTATTGCAAAAAAGGTTTTTCCCCCTCACTCTTTAGCTTTTAAGGGTGCATTTTTGACATCTGCAAAGGGAGACGGAAAGAATTGGCCCAAACTGGCCTGTGCAAAGCTGCGCTGGAACCCTAATGAGGCCGGATGGGGGGAGCACGCGCCTGGGGGGCTCTCTGCCCACTTCAGTCGGTGGCCATTATCAGCCCACATGGAAACAAAGTGACCGGTCCCAGGTAGACCTGCCACCTGACCACTCACCATCTTGTCTTCAAATCCCCCGGTCATCCCGAGGCGAAAGTTCTGCCCGTATCTAAGGACTGGACCGGTGGCGTCCCCATCCGCACTGTCAGTAGAGAGGAAACACAATGAGATTCTGTGCATCAGAATCTTTCTGCAGCTCTACTGCGCACGCGTGCAATCACGTTTATCGTTTCCCTGCTACTGTAGCTTCATGTGTCGTACCTGCATTGTCACTAAACACAAGGCCTTCTCTTTCGGCTTCACATCCAGCCAGCAACCTAGGCCCTGCCTTCCAACACAGTCAGAGCACGAGGTGGCCCCAACTCTGTCAGCCTAGAATGGACACAGCATATCGTGCTAGCCTGTGCTAAGAAACTAGGTCAGGGGCGGTGACATCCTTCGGGAGAACCAAGCTAACACATTTGTAGACATTTCATACAATCTTCCCTCTCAATCCTCCAGGAAACAGAAGTTGTCCTCATGTACATTACCTGTACTCAAAAGAAACCTAAATCAAAGGCTTAGAGGACTGGCCATGTTCCTGTAATATAAACACGGCTATTGCAATTTAGTGATATCAGTCACAACAAAGTAAAAGCAGCATTTTCAACTGTAATCACGTATCTGCTGTTCTCTAAGGGTTTAAATGCTCATTTTCAAAATCTCAAGTACATTTATAGCACACAATGAATTTTAAAATAGCAAATCCCCATGTAATGCCACCTTGCGTTCAACTACGTATTGCTGGTTGTAAAAATAACCTCACAACATCAGAAACAGTGAACGCAGTCCATGAGCTGGGGCATCCTGAGATGTTACCAGGACAATCCACCAGGCTTCCAGGCAGCATATGAATTTACTTGTCTGGATTCAATGCCTTTGAATCGAACACAAATTACTAACCATCCTGATGTTTAAGGTAAAGGGAGGGTGGAGGTCTCCTGACAATAACTCTCAAGATAAAAACCAAGATGAGAATTACAGGGAATGGTCACAGAACCTTTGCCTCCAGTCAGCCCTACTCCAATCACAAGACATCCTTAAGCTGCAAGTGAAAACAGATACTTAGAAAGAAGATGGGCTGAAAATTAAAGTATCTTTACCTCAAAATGATAAAAGTGTTTCTGCCCACGGGGATCTCGGTTGGCGCTGCACTCAGGCCACAGGGCACCTCAAATTCGTCACTCAGGTGGGCTCTAATCTCATCTGGAGTCAAACACAGGCTCAGGTCGCCGTGGAGAAACAGATCAGCTTCTGTCTCAGGGTGGTCCAGGTTCACAAGCATCACTTTGTCGCCGCTGTGAATGTATCCGTCTTGAGATACAGAAAGCTGCATCTGCAGTTAAAATAGGAGCATTTCTAATAAACCACACAATTCTTAACAGCCAGTGCCACTGCAGGTGGTCCTTCTCTCCTTCGCAGTCTGGGGTCCATTTCAATGAGGGACTCACTTGGAGTCCCCCAAAGCCTAGTTTTGCTTTTCCCGCCACCAACCTGCTCCCAATGTGCCAAATCAAAGCCCCCAATAATCTCAAGTAAAGTAAAATAAACCTGATGAAAAATCACATGGGTCGAGCCCATGATTAATTTATTCAACATTCACTGAAAATTTCTTGAGCACCAAGGGGCATTTTACTAATGCATAGATTAATCTACTCATTTTTTAATTTGGAAAACGCAGGTAAACATAATTGTTGTCTTACAGCTTCATCCTCGACCGCCCCCCCACACCAACCCCTGACCTAATGAGGTCACGAGGAAGTGTCTCGGAAAACTGAGACCCGGAGGAATGATATCGGTAAAGCTTCCTCAAGGGAGTGTCGGTTATCTCCCTTATTTTCATGGCCGCGGCAACAGCCGCACCATCCTGGGGGTTGTGTGTGTAGGAGTATGAAGGCACAGCATGTGCTGAAATACAATGGGGCTGGTTGATGGTAATTAGCCATAAGGCACTTATCACACGGACTTTGGAGAAATAAAAGTTTCACTCCTTTGAAGTTTCTTAATAAAAGCTACGCATTGGCTCGATTTGATTCGGGGCTCACTTCCAGAGAGAGAGAACTGCAGTCTCCTGGCCTCGCCTTAACTCTACCCTTGTCTCTTGTGTTTCTTTAACCCTTCGCCACCCCTCTGACTCCCCACTGCCCATGCTGCGCGGGACATGGCAATTAATAGCAAACTTCTCTTATGTCTCTGAAATCTTAGGGAATTTTAAACATTATGGTATTCAGATCTAAAGAGAAAAACTGGCATTTTCCAACTTTTAACTCATTTATGAAATTTTCGCTTGCTTAACATATACTCACACTTAGTATTATAGAATTTTTTTTTTTAGGTTTTATTGGGGAATTGGGGGAGGGGAACAGTGTTGGGGAATAGGGGAAACAGACAAGTTGTTGTTCTTCAATCTTTGTTGTGGAGGGTGCCAGTCGGCAGCTTGTGGCCTCTAAGCTCAAGGTGCTATGCTCAATCTTAGTTGCGGGTGGGCGTAGTCACCATCCCATGTGGGAGTCAAACCAGCAGCCTCATTGTTAAGAGCACACGGTCTATCAACTGAGCCATCTGGGTGGCAGCTCCGCTCAAAGTGCCAAGTTCAGTCTTAGTTGTGGGTGGGCGTAGCCCACCATCGAACAGGCAATCTTGTTGTTACACCAGTTGAGCGATCCTGCCACCTGTTGGCAGCTCAGCGACAGCTCAGCTCAGGCGCAGTGTCACTGGCCCATGTGGGAATCCAACTGGTGGCCCTGTTGCTCAGCACTCGTGCTCTTAAACCAACTCTTAACCGACTGAGCTACTCAGCCGGCCCTGAATATTATAGAATTTTGAAAACAATGTTTAAATTTAAAATTACCGGTCTCAGAAGATGATCTTTTAGTCTTCTGTTTCTCTGTATGAGAAGCTGTCCCTTATCCCTCTTCTCTAAGAAGTCTCTCATGAGCTCCTGGTAAAAGAGAAAAAGAATGAAAGCCAAAGGGTCAACAGCAGTCCAGAATAATACAGATACTGGTAGCTTTTAGGTCAAAAGCATGTCAAGTTGAAAAAGCAAAATTTGAGAACAGAAGAAGAAATGTGAGCATCATGGGAACAGTGGAAAAAATTTTTTAGCATTACTTTAAATTTTTTATTTCATTGTAGAATGTTTAGAAAAATGAGAAAGGCAGAAAAAGGAAACATCACCTGTATGTACTTCAGCTAGCAACAGTTGTAACATTTGGAGGCCAATGTGTCTCCCACGGACACCTCCCCACCCCCACCCCCACCCGTGGTATGGTCACTGACACTGAAAGTCACCCACCAAGCCCCCCAACCAGGGCCTTGTCAAGACCACCACAAAATCCAAGGCAGTGAGTGAAAAAGGTCAGTAACAGGGACCCCACGGGGCCCACAGGAGAGTGTTGTGACAGGGTGGGGCCTGTGGGGGCAGCATTTCTATTTAGAGCCTTCCTCCTGCACTGCAGCCTGTGGGGCTGTAAGTCTCTAGAGAACAGAGGGAACCCAGTGGCTCTAGAGTCTAGACTGGGGGGAGGCACAGGCGCAGCGCCTTCGAGAGCCAGAGCACCGAGTTTGGGAGGCCAAGGGGCCCGAGGAAAGAATAGAAGGGCACAGACCTGGGTTCCTAGAACCGCAGGTGAGATTCCTGAGCCGTCAGTGAGGGGTGGGATCGTAGGGGTACTCGGTGTGTGCTGGGGGAGAAGGGCGAAATTAGGGTGGGCGTGGGGGTGGAATCCCTGAGCAGCCTGGGGAGGGGCACCCCGCCATGTCCTGCACACCTCCTCCAGGTAGACGTCCTCGTTCCAATTGCCCATCCTGACTCGGGGACCGTACAAGTTCTGCGCCATGGTCCAGGCTCCTTGAGCAGGCCTTCCCCAGATGCAGATTGTTAGCGTGCCCGTCGCCATGACGACCCAGCCCCTTGTGATTGGCCAAGGCCCGGATCCTACTGGCCAATGAGAGACAGCGCACGAGTTGCCCTGGCAGTGGCTGTCGCTCCCCACCCCATCCCCGTTGCCACCTCTTAGGGCGTCCTTGAGTTTAATTGCAAAGCGGAAGAGAGGAAAAGCTCGAGCTTACAGACCTCGTTGTCCTAAATGCTCCCCAGAGAGAAATGTAAAACTTTTTTTTCCTTTCAGACTTGAAACAAAAATTGCTGTAAAAGAAAAATAGCCCTTACTTGTTCAGAGAGCAAAGAATAGCTTTTAAATGGAAGCACATCATGCTTGCAGCCTATTTTTATCATCAGCACCAATTTCTTCCTAATCATAAAACAACACATGCTCAATACAGAAACTTGGAAACCGAAATAGCGAAGAAGGGAGGAGAAGGGAGAATTACTCAAAGGTAAGAGCTGCCTCCCGTTAGCACGCTTCTGTTTATGCGTTTCTGAGGCAGTCCATGTTTTACGGGTTCTGCAGCATTTCTTCTCCCTGCCCAGGTCTCCAACTGCAAGGACACGCTATGATTTGCAAGAACTCTTGATAAAACAGGAATATGCTGAAGCCAACGTTTGTGAAACAAATATTTTATGAGTGAGAGGGATAAACAGCTCCTGGAAGACCACCTGGAGCTTGGAGCTGATCGAATGCACTCAGGAATGCACCTTTACTTAGTGTCTGCTCAGGACAGCGATGAAAGACCCGGAAGCTCTCCTCTCTTCAGCAGCCCCACCCTAACAGAGGAGTTAACCCATGAAAGCAAGTCACTTCAGGCATGGGTGCAATTAAAGGCGTACCAAGGAAAGGCCAAGGAGTTTAAAGAAACATTCAGCCACACCTGGGGGACTGTGAGAACAAGAATCAGGAGATGCACGGGTGGTCATTCAGGGAGGGGCACTTTGGAGCTGACCTTGAAGCAGGCTTCAGCATGATATCCGTCTGGGAACGCCCTCACGCACTTGTGAATCGGCCAGCTCTGTCAATACAGCGCCATGTTCTAGGATACTTCAAAAGGAGAGCTGGAACAAGGAGTGTAGGTCAGATCATATACCACTAATTGCATGTGACAAATGAAGAATCTGAGGCTCAGAGATGCTAGCGGCTTATCCAAGTTCAAACTACAAGTTGCTCAAAGCAAGGGCTCAACCCAGATTTTCTGACTCCAAAGTCCATGTTTTTTCCTCCTCTTTAAGTGTTTCCATATTCCCTGGAAAATCAAGAATATGAAAAGGCAGCTTTGGTCTCCGTAAGATTTAGTAAGGTTCCAATGACTTGGTTATTGGTAAGTCTTTACACCAATACAGCTTTGCTCTCACCTGCTTCCTCTACACTACTGTTATTAAGTTCATTACATTTCTGTATGTTATAGGCCCATCAATACAACTGTATGCCTGTTGCTTTATGCAATTGCTTTTAAAATCACTGAGGGGGAAATACGTTATTATGCTCTTTTGTAATTACATACATAATTATCTTTGCTGGCGCCCCTTGTTTTTTGTGTGTGGGTAAAAATGACAGCCTGAGACCGGCCGAGTGGCGCAATGGTTGAGAACTGGCTTGGGACACCAGAGGGCCCCGGTTCAGATCCCACATATGAGGGCCAGTGACACTGCCCTCCACAGCTAAGATGCTGAACAGCAGCTCAACCTGGAGCTGGCCTGCCATGAGTCGCTGGCGACGGCATAGGCTGCAGCCCCTGTGGCAGTGGGTTGCCATGGGCTACCGTATGTAGCCAGCAGCCAGCGTGAGCGGCCAGCAGCCGCAGTGAGTGGCCGTCCAGAAGCCGGCGACTGCTCTGCCTTGCCCGGGAAGAGCCCAATGATGGTGCCAACTTGGGCCAGTGAAGCAATGTCCTCCACAACTAGACTGAAGAACAAAACGACAGCAACTTGTCTGTTCCCCTTCCCCCAATTTCCCCCGCGCTGTTCCCATCCCCCCAATTCCCCAATAAAAATCTTTAAAAAAAAAAGACAGCCTGACATTGCTGGCTTTCACCCTGAAGAAGCTCCTTTGGTTTTCCTTGTAAAGCAGGTCTCCCTCGGTTTTCACTTACCTGCTATTTCACCTTCATTTTTTTTTAAAAAATTGGGGAATTGGGGGATGGGAACAGCGCTGGGGAATTGGGGGATGGGGAACGACAAGTTGCTGTCCCCTTGCTCTTCAGTCCACCTGTGGAGGATGTTGCTTCACTGGCCCAAGTTGGCACCATCATTGCGTTCTTCCTGGGCGAGAGATCCGTCACCAGCTTCTGGATGGCCGCTCACAGCGGCTGCTGGCCACTCATGCTGGCTGCTGGCTACACATGGTAGCCCATGGCAACCCACTGCAGCCTACGCCGTCGCCAGCGACTCACAGCACCCCAGCTCCAGGTCGAGCTGTTGTTCAGCATCCTAGCTGTAGAGGGCAGTGTCACTGGCCCTCATATGTGGGATCCAAACCAGGGCCCTCTGGCATCCCAAGCCAGCTCTTAACCAACGCGCCACTTGGCCGGCCCTCACCTTTATTTTTGTGAGACGGTTTTACTGGGTGTGAGGCTTGGGGTTACAGTTGTTTCTTTCAATACTTTAAGTACACCATCCTTCTGCCTTCTGGCTTCCATGTCTCTCATGAGAAGTCAACTCTTAATCTCACTGGGGTTCCCCGCATGTGTCTACTAAGTGTCTTGTGTGGGCTCTTGCTGCTGCCAAGACGTTCTCTCCGGCTTTGTCGTCACCATTGTGACTATGGTCTGAGTGGCGGTCTCTCTGCAATCATCCTATTTGCAATCTGTTGAGCTTCTGGGATGTGTAGATTACTGGTTTCTTCCATGAAATGTGGGATTTGCCAAGATTTCTTTGAGTGTTTTTTCTCCTCCTTTCCATCTTTGTTCTCTTTCTGGGACTCCTAGTGTCTGTGTGTTGGTACATTTACTAATGCTCTCATTTCCCTAAGGCTGCATTCATTGTTCTTCCTTCTTTGTTCTCTCTGTTCTTCAAATTGCATGATTTCTATTAAATTTGCTCATTGCGTCTTCTGACATCTCAAATGTACTACTCCATCTGTCTAGTGAATTTTTCACTTAGGTTATAGTACTTTTCAACTCCAAAATTTCCACTGGTTCCTTTTTTTTTATCATTTCTTTATTGATATTCTATACTTGCTGAGGGACTGTTATCATAGCTTTCTTAAATCCTTTAACCATGGTTTCCCTTAGTTTTTTAAATATATTTATAATAATTGCTTTGAAGTCTTTGTCTGCTGAAGTCCAAAATTTAGATCTTCTCAAAGCCTGTCTTCCCCCATGTTTCTTTGCAGGTCTCATATTCCTGTTTCTTTGTAGGTGTCATTAATATTTATTGAAAACTGAGCATTTTAGATAATATACTGTAGAGACTCTGTATACAGGCTCCCCAAGCCAATGCCCGTCATTGTTGTTTGTCTGCTTGGGTGTCTGTTTAGTGACCTTGGCTGGACTAGTTAGGCGAGGTCTAGTCCCCATAACGGGCAGCCCTCTGATGTCACCCTTCAGGGGTGCAGCCGTGAGCATTCAGAGTCCCCTAAGCTCCTAAATGGATCTCATGATAAGCAAAGTAAATAGAGAAGGATCTCACAACTGACAACACGGATGGATTTAAAATCCAGGGGATACGGCTGGCTGAGTGGCTCAGTTGGTTAAGAGCACACTCAAGAGTGCAAGCTCTGATTAACAGTGGTTCAAGTCCTGGCCCGAGCTGAGCTGACAACAGGTGGTAGGATGGCTCAGCTCAAAATAAATAAATAAATAAATAAATAAATAAATAAATAAATAATCCAGGGGATAATACAACTATAAACAAACATGCAAGAAATGTTTTAAAATCTTTTTTTTACAAAATTTTATTTTCATTTCTGAAAAAATTATCGAAATGTTCAATTTACTATAATAGCAGAAAAATTTAAGTTTACATTCCTCAAAACCCTCAAAGTTAAGATTAAAACATAAATGCACTCATACATTGCTGGCCACTGAGTAATGTACTCAGTTCTCACTTAGCAGTAAAAATCTCCTTGATATCAGGCCACCATGTCTTCCCTTCTATAGCAAATATGACTTTGACGTAAACCAGGTATATACTGAAAAACTTAGTTGCTATTTCCTTTCATGATTTGATGACGCTCTTGGAAAAGTTTAATTGGAGCTTTTTAGTACTGGTGAGATGTCTGGCAGAAGAGCCAAAGAAATACTTGGACAGAATCATTTTTAGAAAGAGAAGTAGGACAAAGTTCAGATACTGGGAAAGAGAAATGAGTTATAGTCTCAGAAGCAAATAACTTCCAGGGTGCTGAAAATAAGTTTGAAAGTCCTCAGTGGATGACAAATGATAGGTCATCACAGAGTAGTGAAGACGACAAAGGGAACTAAAGCCCCTTTCACTCAGCTTGTGGAAGCATTTCTGCCTCTGAGCCTCAGTATCTTCATCGATAAAAATGGGTGAAGGTTACTTTACTGATAACTCTCTAGGGAGCATTTCCCAAATGCTCCGTGATGTGTAAATCAATCTGGAGTGGGAAAGAGTCCTGCTGTCCATCCAGGTGAGAGCTGCGGGGTTGAACAGGCTTCCTGCTGGAGGCCTTGTCGGGGCCTTGAAGGTGACAGCACACTGCAAACCCACAAAAGGGTGATGGCAGATACAGCGCTGCCCCAGCTAAGTTCAACATGAATCCTTTCATTAAAAAATCATCTTGTAAGAGCAGTGCTGTAAGGAACACTGACTCAGAGATTTGTGAGGAACAACTGAAATAATATGAAAAACAGGTAGGATGTGGACATGGAGACAGGCGAACCAAGCACTTCCAGATGGGAGAAGCAAGCCGAGGCAGGATGCGGAAACAGACACCAGGAGGACCTCAAGGGCCAGCAAGGAGCACAGGGCGTGTGGGTGGGCTGGGGATGGAGAAGGGCCTGGACCCACGTGAGAACGGTGCCTTCTCTTCTGTAAGGAGCAAATGACAAAGGGCAGAGTAGAGCTTTCAGAATTTACTGGAGCTACAGGTGCTGGCATGGATTTCAGGCCGATCAGCCCGGGTGTGGGGCCGGAAGCCCAGCTAAGACCCAGCATGGGGAGAGTGATGGGTGTGCCTGAGTAAGACAGTGTCAGTGGGGGCAGACAGGTGGAAACGAATGAGAAAAGAACCAGCCAATATTGTCAGCTCTAGAAAAACAGCTATCCTACTGTTTGTTCAACCAAGATTCCCTGTGCACCCAACGCTGTGCTCGGAACCCAGGAAGCAGGAATGAGTAAGAGAATCGTGGGTCTTGCCTTTGGGGAGAGTCACAAAGAGGAGACAGCTCTGCAGGGCATAGTTTGAAACCCACTGCTCGAGTCTGTCCACACCTGATTTTACAGGCAAGGACGCTGAGGCTTACAAAGCAGGTCAGCTCTGCACTGCCACGAGCTCTTCAGGGGGAAGAAGAGCAGCTGGAGTCCCTGTCACTGGCCTCTCAGTCCAGGGCTTTGTGACTTCCCTGCCCTCACTGGTCCCCACCCGTGGGACCCCTCATCTCTTCACCACCGACCCATTAATCTTGTCTTCCTGGTAAAAAAAAAAGCTCTGGCCTTTACGGTTTCAGAAAGATACAAATGGATGCATTCCACACACTGAAGGCAAGCCTCAGAGCACAACCAGGGAAAATCAGGGTCCATTTCTCATATTCTTTTGCAACACAGGAGCTTGTCACTACCCATGTGTCTGCAGCTAGGCCATCACCCAGACACTTCCAGTACAACAGGACACAGTTAAGAAGTGGACCGGTTCCAGGAAATTATCAGAGATACTGGTGAATGTGCACAGAAGCGTATCAACGCGAAGACACATTTCCCCAAACTGTCAGCTTTTCCAGGTCCTTTAATCTTATGGGAAAAGATAGGGTGTCCCTTCATTTCACAAACGAGGGAACGGAAGCAGAGAGAGCTTATGGGAAATACCCAAGTCAGCATCGGAGGCAGACCTGAGCCCACCGTCAGGATGCAGGAAGAGAAAACAGAAAGCAAGGCCTGCCTTCCCAGCGCCCACAGGCCTCACCCCACTGGACACACACCACTCCATCTGGGGTTGCCTTTCCAAGGGGCTGGGAGATAATTTCTGTGCTCCGTGGCAGCTCCGGGATTTAAAACACAGGCTCCGGAGACAGACGTTCCTAGCTCAAACCCCAGAACTGAACACTTGCAGGCTGTGCGACCTTCAGGCAACAGCACGACCTCTCTGTAAAATGAGAAAATACTAACGCCCACCTCGTGTGGTTATCGTCACGTGTAAGTGAGGTGATGCACACCCTTGGCACACAGCCTAGGACATGGTAAGCACTCCGTAGATTATTCTGAAAAGACAGACAGCAAGGGTGGTTTAGCCACATAGTCTTCTGTTTGCGAAACCCACAAGTTTAAATGCAAGCACTATTTCTTTTTGCAAATGGGAAAACAAAGGCCCAGCCAGGGGAAGAGAAATGCCTGAGGCCAGACAGCTGGTGTCAGGGCAGCTGAGAAAACCCAGGACTCCTAGTCTCCTAAATTGCACTGGAAGGCTCCAAGCAAGCTGGAAAATGGGTGTGTCTTCAATACACAATTCACAAACGCACAGTCATGGGGATAGTGCTTAATATTGGGGCTCTATATGGTACACAGAAAAATTCCACGCGGGGAGCTATTGTCCACACAGGTGTCATTCTCCCCTCTCTTGGAGTGAGACCTGCGGCCCAGGGGAGTGACTGGCGCTGCCCACAGGGACAAAGCTGGTGCCAGGGCTGCTAGGGCCCGGGTCACTGACTGCAAGTCCAGTGCTCCCCGCCTCTCTATGACAGTCTCCGAAAAACTGGAGGAAACTTACACACATAACAGTCCTTGAGTTACTGAGTTTCTCCTTCTAGATCCTTCTAGGGACTTCTGTGAGCTCCACTGATCTGTGGCTTCATTTAGGGCAGGGATGTTCTGTTTATCAAAATCTGGTAAATACCCTGAGAATGTCTGGGAAGCTCTGTCACCTGCTGCCACCAAGACCGAAAATGGCAGTAATGATTCCAGAAGGCAGTTTTGCCTCACATTATCAAAAGCCTTAAAAATAAGTGTATGTGTCTCTGATCCCATTATCTGGATATTATACCAAGGAGATGTTTACTGTAACAGGAAAAAAATGTCCAGTAACAATGGGCTGTTTCGGTAAATGAGAACATTTATATTCCGGATGGCTATGCAGCTATTAAAAATCATGAAATAAGAGCAACACTTAATGATTTGGAAAATGCTCACAATATATTAAGTTAAAATGAGATTGTAAAGAGTTTATAATGTAAGATGTCCATTTTACAATTAAAATGTGTACTTAAAAATGTACATTTTAAAATGTGCATTCATAGGAAAGATAATGTAATTTATAAACGTATGTGATGGTACATGTGTACATTTACATGTATAGCATAACACAATGTACATCGCATGTATTCGTATACATGTATAATCTATATAACATACATGTATGTAATCTATATACATACATAATACATTATTTATATGTATGCATGTATGTATGTATGTATGTATATATATGTACCTGATGGGGGGAGGGCATCAGGTTTTCCGTAATGAGCATGTGATTTTTTGTAATCATTACAAAAGAAGAAAATATGTGAAAACGTTCTGGCCCAGTGACATTCCACACCTAAACTAAAGCCTAGATTTGTGTCACTAAAGCATAAATAGTAGATAACATGTCTCAGTGGTTTAAGAAGTTAGGACCAAGAACGGACACCAGTTTTCTGCTCTGATGCCTCCAGGCACCTCCCGTGGCAGACGTTTGCAGTGTTCGTCTAATCCCGTTGGGCCATTGCTCAGACTCTCTGGGAATCTGTCATCCAGAAGAGTCTGTGAAGACAAGTTCTCCTCAATGATCTTTGATTCCATCATTGGGTAAGTGCGCCCACGTGTGGCCCATCATGGGTACAGCTTTTTGTCCATAACAAGGAAAATGACAGAGCGACAAGGTGGCTCAGGACAGGAGACCCTAGTCTACAAGCAGGTCTCTGTTCCCAAACGGAATTGTCAAGCCGAGCTTCTAGACCTTAGAACACATCTTCCCTCTCAATAATCACAGTGGGGCTACGAGCCAGTCAAATCGCTGTGCACTTGTAATGGCCTCAGCTTCCTCTCCTGTAAACAGTACTTCTTACGTTATGTTCTGGGCGTATCAGAGTATCGGAGGTTTCCCACAATGGTGCATGGGTCGCCCTCGATGTCCCCTCTGCCTGAGTTTCCTTACTCCAGACACTTCTCCATGTCCTGGCTACTCATTTCATCAGGAGGGCCCCAAAGGCGGCTCCCTCAACCACATCCCCGACTGTATTAAGCCAGTCGCCGCTCCCCCAGCTCTCACGGACCTTTGTGTTTCCCCTGCATAACCTTAAACCTAACACCAAAACCATTGACTCCTCACTCGCCTGTGATTTGGGGGCACAGTGAACCAATTCCTCTCAGTATGCTTTAACTTTTCCAAACATACAAATTGGAAAAGTATAAGGCTAAGATATAAGTCATTTGGAAAGAATTCTTTTATGTGGTTCCCCAGTGTGTGCGCTCCAAAGGCAATCATTCCGGAACATTCCACCGAAGGTCAGGCGTCACTGGTGGGTGCTGCCTCCCTCCGGCACAGCCTAAGGCCTACTCGCGGGAGAGAACGCCTTCCTTGCAGCTCCGAGCTCCCCGTTCTGTCTCCTTCCATGTCCTGAGACTGTGCTGTGCAGGGTAGCGCTATCTAACCTCATTTCCTCACCCCACCCCCAGGGGACAGAGGGAGCCAGTTCCCATTGTCCTCGGCTCCTATCTGACCTCACGCACTAGCTGGCCCGTGAAGAGCTGAACACGGCTCCCCAGCCTCTTGGCAACAACAGTATCTCCAGAATTTCCAGAAAAGTCTGGACTCAGCTACTCCTACCAGACCCATACACAACTGTGCCTGCTATTTCTGTCACTCTCAAAACTTGTACAGAAATTCCAGGTCACCGACATGCATCTTCCCTGTAAGTTCCTATCAGGGAACACAGGCCTGCGACCTCTCACAGGAGGCGGTGGAAGTGACCCCCAGCGCAGCGCTGCGTCCACAGTAACACAGCAGAGGCCAGCCTCACCGTGTGGTGGCCTTGAAGGTCATCTCCACCCTGCCACCACCACTGAGAGGTTCGGCGTCCCCACTGTCTTGGAAGCAGCCGCCAGCACTTCAGCCTGTCCCCTTTCAGTGGTGTCCGCCCCAGCCAGCAGGAAGAGACTAAGGTCCAAGACACAGCCTGCACGGCCATGCCGCTTTCTGGCTTCCACCCAGCCCCGTGGCATGAAGTGGGAGAAGGAAGAGCTGCGGTAGGAAGCTGGCTAAGGGCTCCTGTCTGCGGCGGCCTCCTGGCAGCGTCGGATTGAGCCAATCCCCGATTTCATGCTGAATTCTGTTATTTCCTTTGTTTTGCAGAAAAATTCCCGATTTTTATTACGAGTCTGTGTGCCCACTCTTCACCAGTGGGAAGGAACTTGACAACCGATGCCAGCACTTACTAGGTCTGTGACTTTGAGCAGGCTTTTGCTCCCCTCTCTGCCTCCATGTTCTCGTCTGTAAAATGGGGATAAGAAGACGGCCCATTTGCTCACTTACTACAGCAAGTCAATGAGGTAGCGGATGGAAAGGGTGCTGGCTCCGCAAGCCTGTCACAGCCGCCAGCACCAGCGCCGTCGTTGGGACAGGCTCCCTCCGGGCTCCTTCCTCCAGCTCCAGGTCCTGCACTAGGCTGACACGCTGGGCCTTGCAACCCAGGGCCTGTCTGGCCAGAGCGCACTAACCCTCCGTTCTTCTCAGCCCTCAGCACTGCCTCACTGCAGCCAGGTACACGTCTCTCACTCCCTTCTTCTAACTTAACACCCAATTTTAGGATCCCACCCCATCGCCTGTCCTACCCTATCAGCCCATCCTGAGGTCTGCGGGCTAAGCCAGCGCGCGCCTTTGGGCTTGCCTGCCAAAGGCACCAGCCTGCCCTCTCCACAGCAATCCAAACGTCTACCAAATGTCTGTGAGCCGCTGCAATAGCGGGTTTATGCAACGCTCTGCATGTGCCATCTCATCTCGCGGTCCCTGCAAGAGGTCCTGTGCAGGAACTGGCCTTGAAGACACGGCTGTGGCCCCGTTCCAGTACCTTCTCAGGCCCAACTCTCACCCCGCAGCTCTGGTGCCAAGATCCTGGCCGCTACTTTCCGGGTCCTCTCCCTGTGTGAGCGCATGCTGAGCACCGCCACCGTCTATGCCAAATACACGTGTGCTTCTTGGCACCATTCTCCTAACAGTTTGGCCGCCGTGTGACAGGGCCATTTCTCAGCTCAGCCTTAGGCCATGAAGAGACTCAGTAACAATGAAATGCCCACCTCAGTCCCCTGTGCACTTGGCACCTGCCATGCCCAGAAGCACCCTCGAGCCACACCTTTTACCTTGGAACACAGCAGGGGTACAGCGGGCAGCAGGGCGGCAAGGTCAGTGGGTCAGGCGCATGCTCAGATTCCTGGAGAAGGTCCAGTCACTGTGTGTCCTTACTCCGAGCACTAGAGGACACTGGTGGCACCCATGCCACATTGCAAAGCATCCCCGCCAGGAGGGGCCGGGCCAGCAGGTGCAGTCATGGAGACCCTGGGGGCACAGACCAGAGGACTCGTCACGGACAGCAGAGGCTGGACGTGCGCTGGCGTGGCTCCTCGGGTCCGAACATACTGATACGCTGCCATACTGGCTGGCAAACAGCTCTCGCCCCAGAATGACCTAAGTGTCCCTCTGCGATGATGGCTTTCCCGGCCTCTCCCTCTCAGGTCCCCCAGACATCGCCCCACCAGCACCACCATTATTCAACAATGAAAGGTAAATATTTGGCACAGGAGGGGGCCCCAAGGCCTCTACCCCCACACTACCTCTGCTTCTTTCTGATTGATCGAGCAGGCGGTTGACTATTCTGGCTACCAACCCTGGTGGGACTCATTCACAAAAAGGCGGAATTGATCAGAAATCTGATATGGAAAGTCTGCTCCAATAAGGCAGCATTACAAGAAACAAAACATACAGACGTGAGGATCTTCTCAGCTCCTTCCTTGAGTCCCACCAGTGGTGACCAAACCTCTGAGTTGGTAACAGGCTCCATCGGCCAGCCCTCCGCCCTGGGGAATCGCATGGAGGTGCTGCCTGTGTTCCGGAGGACACATCGGCTGGGTCCCCAGGGACACCGCATAGGCACATTGGGGAGGAGAGACCTGGCCAAGGTCAACCAGTTTTTGTTAAGAATTAGGACTCCTAAGGGATAAAAAGGGGAGACGTTTTTCTTTTAATTGAAAAGATAAAGGAAGATGCCTATAGTCACCGAGCACATAAAACATCTTAGGCAGAGGGGAAAAAAATGGAGCTAGCCAAGGCCTCGTCCAGCGGGTCAATAAAGCTCAGAGGAGAAGTCCACAAAGCAAGATTTCAAAGAGCAACGGGTCGCTGTTCATGGCTGAAAGGCACTCTGAGGCACAGGTCAGCTCAGAACACACCTATCAACACGCCTTTCCTTCAAAAAGGTTCGCGACTGGGCTATTAAGTCAAGTTACAGATCTCAGTCACAGGGAGGCTGTATTTATAAAATTGATTATTATATAAACACTGGAATAGACATTATATATATATATATATATATATGACATAATTTAAACACAAAACTAAGGTGAAATAATTATTGTAACTGTAGTGAAAAGTAATGCAGTTAAATAATAATTCTTGAAGACAGATAATAATAATGAGCATTAAACTTTGTCAAAAATCACAGGCTGGATCAATAATATTGTAATAATTATGTACAGTGTTAGACGGGTACTAGATGTATTGTGATCACTTCATAAGCCATATGTTTAATCACTATATTGTACACCTGAAAATAATATATATTGTAGGTCAACTATAATTTAAAAGTAATTTTTTTAGAAAATCCCAGGCCATACCAAAAACCTGGGAGGCAGGCACAGAGGTGGAAGAAATTTAAAATGGAAATTTTTTCCTCTTATGATGACTTTTATTGAATGTTTGCAAATTGTTTTAAATGCTTTACCTGTGTTGTCTTACTTATTTCCACAGATGACAAAATAGATGCAGAGAAGGTAATTATTTGTGTAAACGAAAGGAAAAAGGCTTTAGAAACATGACAGACATGAGGAGGAAGACAGAAGGAGAAGGAGATTTGCATAGTTTCATGTCCATAAAATAGATGTTTAAAAGTAAAGGTTTAGAAACATGGACATGGTATCATTTAACATGTGTTGGCCTCTCTGGCATTCAGACTTCCTTCCTGTGGCAACGTCTAAGGTGGAAAGAGGATGCTTCTTTTCAACAAGCTGCCCTGCGGGTGGGGGCTACTCTGTGGACCTCTCAGAACCTCCAGAGCCTGGTTCCAAGCGCTGAGATGTCCATCCCAGGACTCTGGAGTCCATCGGAAGCCAGGACCCAAATCCCTTCTCTGCCCTGGATCAGAGCTCCCCACGCTCCACCTGGGAGGGGCTGCGGGGATCCCACGGAGGGTCCTGGGTCATTGGTAGAAGAGTCTGGCAGGAAGAGCTCATTAACGCAGATGGCAACCTGCTCTCCTAGGCACTGGGCCTCGCTGGGCAGCCGGTGACCCTCGCTCTCCCTCCTCTGGCTCCCGCGGGCCTTTGGGGGAAAGGACTGGGCGGGGTCCTCTCTGGCCGGCTGCTTCTGGAGATAAGTGCCTGATGACTCTGTGCAGCCTCCCATTCGGGAGATAAATTTCCTATTAGGGCGGAAATCACACCCCCTCTTCCCCAGAGTCTCCCCACCTTCGACTTCGGCAATGGTGGGAAGTGACCACACCCACTCTTCCCAACCCCGGGGGATTCCAGCATTTGCAAGTTCGGAGCTGGAAAGATAAACATCACTGCTTATCCCTCACTCCCTCATTGTTCCTCTTCAGTGGCAGAAAAGGAACAGAGAACCAGGCTGCACGGAAATTCACCCATCTGCAGGCCTTGTTAAGGGCACTGCTGCCTTAAATTACACCCAGGGGCCCCTCCCTTTCCTCCTCACCAACACTCCCACCCGCCTGTTGAGAAAAACAAAACTTTGACTCTCACTTCCAAGGTAAGTTTAAGCAGCCTGGCCCTGAGGCCCCCTCCTCCTCTATTTCCAGAGATGGAGCTTGGGGTAGTGAGCTGAGCGCTAGACTTGGGTCTGCAGGACTGGTTTTCTCACTTCCAGGCTTAGGATGAATTACTTATCCGCCCGGTAGCCCGAGGACCTGATCCGGTAAAAGGGCGTCATCATTTTTCCCCTGCCCACGTCACTGTGTGCTTGAACAGGAGGATATGCTGAACCCAAGCTCTGTTTATAAATGGCAAAGTACATAGCACTGTAAAAGAACAGTATCCTCAGCTCCCACGGCCTCCTCCATGGATCTAACCTGCCAGCTGAACTCGAGCCCTGACGCTTGTGCCAAACATAGAGGGCAACTTCTATTTTCCTATACAAGTCTGTGCAAACCGTTCCCTCCATCAGAAATGTTCTCCTCTGCCTCTGCCTTCAAACGCCTTTCCTTCCTTCCCAGTCCAGTTGGAATTCCCTTCCTCCCAAGAAGCCTCCCCATTCTGACGTCTTTTTCCAGAGTCCCCCCTCTTTTTCAGAACTCCTCCAGCTTCTTCTCTGCCCCCCGATTTCTGACTGGCCCCCTTGTGCCTTCAAGGTCTTTGTACATCTGCTTATTTCCCCCCAATAGACCAACTGCAAACAACTGGGCAGCACCATTCCGTCCCCGCACTCCCAGTGCGTGAAACAGGGACATGGTGGAGGTGACAATAAGAAAGGAGCCGGGAGACACCTATGTCAAGCACACGTGTATGTACACATGCATTCATTTGGGAGAAGTTGGCACCTCACTATTTCTCAAAAGAGTCTAAGGAAACTTTAGAAACTGACCACAACTCAAAGCAGCACAATTTCGACGAGAAGAGAACAACATGTTTCCAGCACCTGGGATGAGCTGTTTACTCCAGTTGAAGACTGGATTTATCTCTGAGTTTCCTGGATGGGAGGGAAGCGCGCTGGCTCATACCCTTCTCATTGTCCAATAACTTTGGAATCAGGCTGGAAAGAGAAATTTTTCCTGGCACCGTGTTCAAGGAGAAATTTATCAAGTGAGTCCTTATATAACAGACATGAGGTAACACATCTCCAACATCTCCAACCGGCGTTTTGCAGAAGGACACATGTCTTCAGATGGGCAACTCCAGGGTTTGACTGCAGTTTAGACAGAAGGGGTTTCTGCATGGAAATGAGACAATAAGGCCCATACCCAGTTTTTCCTCGAGAACCAAGGAAGACTAAGTTGGTATCTCTGCTTAATGTCCAGCCTCAAAGATCACATATAGACCCGTGTTAAGGATCTTGGAGGTCAGCTTGCAGCAGCTGGAGGCAGGAAGCTGGGACAAGGATCGTGCCCCCTCGGGGCAGACTCCAGGGGGGCTGGTATGTGCTGAGGTGGACTGGGCCTGGACTGAATGCCCACTGTTCATCAGGAGGCCATACCCAGGCCTGGTTAGCCTGAAAGGAGACTCAAGAGAATTGGGGAGCAGTAGGGCTCACGGATGTCATGACAGGCAACGACAGAAACTTAGGGGAAACACAGGCGTCAGGTCTGAGGGAATCACTAAGTGCTAGGGCTGCCAAGACGACACACAAAGCTCCCTAGTCCTGCCTCGGGGGTGGGGGTGGGGGGCGGTGAGCCGAGTGTGGTGGCCTTGGGGTGTCCATCTGTGAGCTTCAGAGCCTGACCCCCCCCCCCCCGACTTCATGATGGAAGGAACGGAGGCCCCAGAGGAACGTAAGCCCTATGTGGCTCCCTGTGTGGCTCCCACAGGAAAGGTGCTTAGCTCTTCAGTTCTAAGTTGGCTGTTTTGTCTCCACACGAAAGGGGCAGCGCGTGCCTCCAGGGCTTCACACACACAGCCCCACCGAGCGTCGATGGAGCTATCGCCAGGGTTTTCAGCTTGCGAAGTGTATGTCTACACTGTCTCTCTCTTTTCCTTCCCTTTTGTGCCGACTGCTAGGAGGCGCCTCCTGAAAGGCCAGCTGTGTCCCTCTCAGGCACGTGACTCCAGAGGCCTGGCACCTTCTCTCTGAAGGTATTTCTAGTGGAGGGGAAGGGCTGGTCTCTCAGTACATCTGACTCCAGCGAGACCTAAGAATCAAGACCGCATGGCCACCTCAGGCCACCACAGGCAGCACCAGTGTGGCAAAGATACTTCCCGTGTCCTTCTCAGTAGGCGCCACAAGGTAGGGGAGGTCAGAAAGCACCCAACGGCCCGAGGAGGGGACGCCAGGCACCCAGAAGGAGTCATTCCGTGTTCCCTTTCCCGTGGTGAGTTGTAGCTTTACTCTGGGGAGCCCCAGAGGGACATTACGCCAGGGCGATCCTGGGAAGCACGTCCTCTGAGTTTTGTTCAGCAGTACCCCAGGGGATGAGACTGAAACTCACTGCAAGTTGAGCCCGAAGTGAGGCCATCAGACCCACTGGGCACTGAGGGTCCCCAGGCGGCGGCGAAGGCACAAACTCCATCCTGCCCCACAGGAAGGGACGGGGGAACCTGGTGCGCCCTCCACCT